TGCGACATCATTGAAGCCGGCTAGATCAGGCATGATCACAGCCGTAGCAAGTGCAGAGGGGCGCAGCTTTCGAATTTGAGCCACCCATTTTTTTGCTCTCCATTCACGTGGGAATTTATTTTCCCATACCATCCTCTCAAATACTCTGCTTTGTTTGTCTGTATTTGTGATCATGAGGTCATATCTACAGTACACTGCTACTTTTTAAATGCATGAAAACAAGTTATTTTATCTGCAACATATCATTATCCCAATATTTGTCAAATGCCTCCAATCTGTCGCATATGCAATTCACCAAAAACGACCAATCTGTCGCATATGCAATTCACCAACGACACCAACATCGACAATTCTCCTAGGATGACAACGCGAGGAAAAAAGCGTGTGAAGAAGCGGAAGTGGTGAAGCTTGGAATCCGATATGTCTCCATAGTTGATGTGAATGTCATGAAAAACTTGACATGTGAGTATTACAGCGGAAATGGAGAAGTTGAAAGCCGATCTGTCTCCATAGTTGATGTAAATTGTGTGAAAAGTTTGACTTGTGAGTATTACACGACCTTTGTCCTTTTAAAATGACCCTTTATTTACCTTACCATCTACCCTCCGTGAATGGAGGCATTTTTTGCTGAAAAGTCAGGTTTGTAAAATCCTCAATATAGCATTCTTCTTCTCTTCTTCTTCTTCAGGATGTAACAAGACGGAACGGCCACGAAGGTGATGACTCGCGATGAACATGGGGGCGCTGGACCAGCCTCACTCACTCACTCAATCCTTCCTTTCCCGCAGCAGCATCAAGTGTGAGTCGAACATTGAATGCGAGGGCGCGGGCGGACATGGCCTACGAGCTCTGTCTAAGGCGTCGTAAATTTTCCAGCTGCTGAGACAGTTTGGCGAGAAGAACATCAACCGATTAAGCCTAACCGCGCATATGCTGCACATACTGCGCAGTTAGTTCGCTAAAATCAACGCCAGCCTACTCGCGTGTTTACAACTAACTTCAGGTAAAAAGACCAGTTGCGTGCAGCATCCGTTCAGTGAGTTCGGATGAAAGGGAAAAGTACTCCTAAGGATGCGCCCGTGCCTGGAACAGGCAAGTGGTTTGCCGCAGGCGGTGATTTCGCCTGCGAGACTAATCTCCCTCGTGCAGTTTCTTCGCCCGGAAACACCGACACGCAAGCACGTTTTACGCAACACTCTAGCCATTCGTAGAGCGAAGCTGCACCGCTTCAACTTTCGAGCAGCTAAGCCGCAAATCGAAATATCAAGCAGAAGGACTGTAAGGAGTCACAACAGCGTCGAATTTGGTTGCTATCGCACCAAGACCTTAACTACGCACACCTGAAGCACGTGACCTCGAGATGGCGCGACTCACAGATTCACTGCGATCTCGGAATCTTGTTGACCTGTGGTCTCCGCGCGTCCACTTTCCAGGGCAGCCGACTCCAGGTCACGTGAACCAGCGCTTCAGTCCGGCTGACCAATCGTGGCCTCTAGTCAACCAGAAACAAAGGCCTAGTCTCCGGGCTCTACGTCTATTGCACATGCAGTAGAAGCGGGGACAACAAAATGACTTACAATCGGCAAGACTGACAAGCAGAAAGAATCTCAGCGTGCGTACGTCTCCCCGCCTGAAGTCTCGAGGGCAAACACGTTTCCACCGTCGGAGGATGCGGGGACATCGAGCCCAGCACGGCACCGGGCTTTTTCGACGTACTTGGCTCCGCAAACCAAATCGAGCCCGATAAACGATGGGGGATGTTCAGTCTAGTCGCAAGAGTTCCATATGATTGCCACATGGTCGTTTCGGGTGGGAGGGTATCGCTGATGCCCCAGAAGTTGGAGAAGCCAGCAATGGCATCGGAGGCACTGCTAACCTATGATAAAGCCCACCAGGCCCTCGGTGTCTTCGCTGTTAATGGGTAGGTGTTAACCCAAGCGGGCCCACGAGAACCATTTGGCCTTAATCATCCACCCTACTGGTCCCGGTAGGAAGTCGCAGAAATTGAGTGCACCAGCTACATGCTTTTTTATCCTTATGGCATTAAGTCATCAGACATTTCATGGAATGATGTCGTAGAGTGTAACAATCAGTTAATTACTCGAAAGATGATTAAATCCTCTTGACCCGGGAAGACGATGCGGCTACTGCCCCGCATAGGACGCAATGACAGCTTGTGCGTGAATCTGGTAAGGGCGACTCGCGAAGCATCTAGCTCGCTGCCTCCCTTCCAGCACCTAACGTACTGCAACGGAAACGCATGAAGGCAGAATATTGGCATGGACACGGCGGCTGAAAATGCATCTACACGGACCACATCTGCGCTGGTTGCCAACTCCATCCGGCGGGGTTCACGGATGTTTTAGAGAGGAAGCGGAGGCATTGCGGCGTGAGCTCCAGTAATGAATAAAATCGAAAAATCCCGTCAATTGCCACTTTTCCACGTCATTACTGATAAAGTATTGTAGCCATTTAGAAGTGCGTTTGAGTATTCACAGCGAGGATGGATCTAACCGCTTGGTCCCTAGCAATGAAAGTATTTCAGGCTGATCGAATGTGGTGGCATTGGTTAACAATCTCAGAAGATGACAGGTACATCAAAAAATCTATACTTGCAAAGAAATTGAGAGAGGGAGATATACAAGCTAGGACACGATGATCAGTCATCAGAGTAGTAGGAAATAACGCATGGACCTGGGTGGAATCAATGCTGCGACCATTTAATGCTCTTGATGTCCACACCCTCCTCGTGCATCTCCCACAGTGGGCTGAAAATACAGAGAGAAAAAAAGAAGTTATGACTAGGCCACGGGGTGGGGAGGGGAAGAAGAGGGGGGCGAAATGGCGACGAGTGCAGGTTGGTTGAAATGCAGGACAGAGGCATAAACAAAGGACACGCCTTCTTCCTCAGACTACTCCCAATGGCGCCGCTTCTCCATTTTAATCAAGATAGGCGCGCTACAGGGGCCGGTAAAGTAGCAAATTACTCTAAGAGTAGAACAGTTGGCAAGTGACCCATTGAACTACCTACCTTCCTCCGTCCGTGCTCGCGTGGGGATTTTTCACAGGCAGCACAGTGTGTCTGAAAGCCGACATGGCAATGTCCGGTGTCCCCTGATCAACGCCTGCTGTCTCAAAGTCATGCAATCTCGCGGTGAGCGATTTCAGACTTGCTGACCTGCAGACACTTGAGTGACTCCCACTTTAACGAGACACCCCACGGCGGACGGAGCATGATCTGCTAGACATGACCCCTCTCGGTTAATGCAGCACGCTAATCGGACAATACTTAAACGGGCTGCAAAACCCTCTAAAAGCAGCTGCCACCACGACCTCCGTCTCTATCTCGGGCATGGCTGGACGCAGTTAGCACTAAGTCTGGCTTTGCCAGTGGTCACTGCTTCCTGGGACAGCAACTCGCAGTTCTGTGCCTTCTGTCTTTTCCTACAACCCAGGATTTGGCCTGACGATTGTAGATCACTGAAGATAAATACCTACTACTCATACGCTACAATAGTAATATGAGCCGCTCGAATATAGGCGACTCTGTGTACTGACGCTAACTTCTACTTTATTTTGCAGAAAACGGTCTGGTAGGCGGGGGGGAGGGCTAAGGAATGACATTGGATGAACTCCGGACAACGAGCGCACATTACCTCATTTTGCGTAGCCTGTTCACATGCTCGACAACGAGCTTGACAGTGTAGTCGACCTCCTCCTCGGTGGTAAAGCGTCCAAGACCGAAACGGATACTTG